TGTAGCCTTGGGTGCATGACTTTGGCAACTGCTAGTGAAGAAAAGACACTTCAATCATGAGTCTTTCACTCCTGCTTTCCTGCTCTCCTTTTGTCAGCGGGTTAGGTGGAGCTTGGGCGTCTTTCGCACAGAAGCGATCTCTGTTGGTAAGTGTTCTGCTCCTGTCCCCATAGAAGTGCAGTGTCCTTCACCTCAATACCCATCTCCTTCACTGTATCCAGTTCTCTCCCCACAGGAGACCATACTGTGCCGGATGGCTGCCTAGCAAGGAAGTCTTTGTAAGGCAACTCAAGTGTCTGTAGTAAGGAGAAACTGAACAAAGCCTTACACAGGGCACAATGCAAGGCAAGTAGTAACAAGACATCCCAAATGGAGGAAAGAGTGCACAGCAGGCACTGGGCATCCGCTGCACTGGAGTAGAAGAGAGGCTGTAGTAACAAAATGATGGAGCAATTTCTAATGACTGAGTAGGACAAGAGACTGGCATGGAGCTCAGACTGAGAGGTGAATTATTAACAACGTCTGTCTGGCTCCATGGTGGCACCTGCCTAATGCTGTAGCTGTGGAAGGATTTTGAAAATAACACCTTGTCAAGGCTGCTTCCCCACTCTGAACTTTAGGGTACAAATGTGGGGGCCTGCATGAAAACTTCTAAGCTTAACTACCAGCTTAGATCTGGTCCGCTGCCACCATTCCCAAAGCTAATTCCCTTCCCTGGGAAGCCTTGAGAAACTTTTCACCAATTCCCTGGTGAATACAGATCCAAACCCCTTGGATCTTAAAACAAGGAGAAATTAACCATCCCCCCTCCTTCCTCCCACCAACTCCTGGTGGATCAAGATCCAACCCCCTTGGATCTAAAAACAAGGAAAAATCAATCAGGTTCTTAAAAAGAAGGCTTTTAATTAAAGAAAAAGGTAAAAATCATCTCTGTAAAATCAGAATGGAAAATAACTTTACAGGGTAATCAAACTTAAAGAACTCAGAGGACCCCCCTCTAGCCTTAGGTTCAAAGTACAGCAACCAGAGATAAACACTCTAGTAAAAGGTACATTTACAAGTTGAGAAAACAAAGATAAACTAACACGCCTTGCCTGGCTGTTTATTTACAAGTTTGAAATATGAGAGACTTGTTCAGAAAGATGTGGAGAACCTGGATTGATGTCTGGTCCCTCTCAGTCCCAAGAGCGAACAACCCCCAAAACAAAGAGCACAAACAAAAGCCTTCCCTCCCCCCCCAAGATTTGAAAGTATCTTGTCCCCTTATTGGTCCTTTGGGTCAGGTGTCAGCCAGGTTACCTGAGCTTCTTAACCCTTTACAGGTAAAAGGATTTTGGAGTCTCTGGCCAGGAGGGATTTTATAGTACTGTACACAGGAGAGCTGTTACCCTTCCCTTTATAGTTATGACACACCTTAAATAGATTATGCCACTTCCGTAAGAATTCAGCTACCTCCTGAGTTCTTTCATTCACAGCCTGGCTGTGTTTCTAAGGCCTGGAGATTGCACGGGATAAAATCCTGGTCCCATTAAGTCCATGGAAATTCTGTCAACTTAGGGCCAAGATTTCACCCATACTCTACATTCGGAGACTTGATTTCTTCTCCCCGTGGGCTCTGATTGGGACCGCTTTCCACACAGTTCTTCAGTGCTGGATCTCTCTGGTGCACCCACCACTGTCACATCTAGGCACCAAGAGGATGCAGAAACTGTAAACCTTTTGAGTAGGAAGGTTCTGCCTTGAAATTTGTGTGCAGGCTCTCCTGGGAGCTGAAATCGTTGGGGGGATGTGCTAACCATCTGCAAGGGTGGAAGGAGAAATCCACAGAACGTTAGCAGCAAAACTGCTTAAAATTGAGTGAGCGAGTGACCTAAAATGCCTGGACACATCAAAACCCCCTTGTGGTTTGGGGATGTGACAATGGAACATACAGTCCAGCTGAGCTTGTCACCCAGCTGAGCTTGTCACCCAGCTGAGAGAGGCCCTCCCAGCTCTCCTCCAAGAGAGGCCCTGCCTGCATCAGGGTTATTGCTTGTGCAGTTCTAGCAGGTTTTCTGTGATCATAGTGCAAAAGGATGGCTTGAGAGCGGCAGTTGTAGTCCCCAGGGAGCAGTGAGATGAATCCTTGCTCATAAAAGTCAAGGAAACCATGGAAGAGCTCTCCTAGCAACGCTGTTGCTAGCATGACTTCAGCTGTAAGATGCATGGGGGAGCCTTAAAGCCAGCACTTCCTGAAGAATGTTTAGTGATTGCATCTTCGGCATGCGGCTGTTTGGGGAAAGCCTACATGCAAGCCAGTGGAGGGGTAGGGTGCAGAGTTGCTGGGGCAGGCATGACATGGTGCCCCATGGTATAGAAATGTAGATAGAATCACCACCCTGGGATAGGGTTTGAAGTGTGCAATGTTACCGCCTCCAAGATGGGGAGGTCAGCAGGGTGGGTGGACGGACACCCCCAAGCAAGAAGACTGGGGAGTCTTGGAGATTGGCAGCTGCATGTAGATGGGCGGCAAACGCCCCGTGTAAGGAGTGGGTTGCCTGCATGGTATAAAACCTCTATCTTGGGATTTCTGTTAAAACTTTACTCACGTCGGGGGACCAGCTCCCTCGCTCCAGAGTCCCGCTGCACTGCAGGCTGTCCCTTTAGGCTGGGAGCCAAGGAACCTGGAGCCACAGGATCACAAGGGAAGCATGCAGTGCCTGGCCCCTCTGCAGGGAGAGGCCTACCTACCTAGATCACTGCAGCCAGGAGATGGGAGCTGCGGTGGGCGGGGTTTGAGCTCTGAATCACCTTTCCTGGGGCAGGGGAAGGTGGAGTTGAGCCCTTTGTTCTGGCCTAGGGAGCTAGTCAAACAGGAAGAGCAGATTTAAAACAGCCATGGGAAGGTAACTGCAGCTGCGGCAGGGACTCGGTGCATGGAAGAGTGTGCGCAGGTCGGGGCAGGGCCAGGGAGTGCCAGGAACTCAGCCTGTCTCTGCCTGCTCCCAGGGGATGAAAGCAGAGACGCCTTAACATGGACCCTCTTTGAAGCAACAATGGCCTGATCTGAGAGCTGCCAAGATGTGTCGACTGGGTGAGTGGCTTCCTTTCCCCAAAGTGACAGGGAGGGGAGGGAATTTCGCACCCTGGTCCGGCCGGATGGGCTCGGGGGCCAGACTGGAAGGGCAGTGGTGGATTGGAGACTGGTGGGGCCTCTTCTGCATCATCCTGTGGTGGGTTTTTTTTTCTTTCTCAAAGACCTTCCTGTAAGAGCTTGGAAATGAGGAGCCCCAGCTAAAGCTGGCGAGTGGGAAACGATCAGTGGGATTGCAAACGTGAGAAATGAGGCCGGAGGATCAAAGCCCAGATCTCGTCCTGATCACAGGGAGGGGGTGACCACAGGATTCCGGGGGCAGTCCTGGGAGCTGGTCACCAGAGGCCACAACGTAGCACTTCTTGCTTCTTCAGCACCTTCCACCCAAGGCTCTGGGGAAGCGTGAGGTTGGGCAGCATCCTTCTCCGTCTACAGCTGGGGCACAGAATGGGCGAAGTGATTTGCCCAAGGCCACCCAGTGCCTGACCGAGCTGGGAATAGAAGCACAGTCCACCCAGATCCCCCATCTGTGAGCTCTGGTCCCAGGGGAGGGCGGGCGGTTGATAACATCACCTCCAGAAAGCAGAGCTCCTGTCCGTACAGGTGCATCAGGCTCTGCTATCTCGAAAGGCTTTGCACCAGGGGCGCCAGCCTGTGTTTGGAACAGGGTAGGTCTGGAATAGGAGTAAGAAAGCCCTGCCCCAAAGAGCAGTTCATGGCGGGTTGCTAGGATCACATGAGTTGTGAGTTCCGTTTCGCAGAGTTGTAAGCTCTAGTGTGGAGAGGGCTTGGGCACCCTCCCGCTCACACCCTTGTTGGGAGGGGAGGAGATGATCTCTTGGCGTTTTGATGTTTAACTTGTGGTTAATCTTTAAAGAAATCTGTTTGTTTTGTAGGAAGCTTCTGATTACAGAACTTCCTTGTCCCTTTCTTAGTCTCTGTGCTCCAGGGTCTTAGATCCACCTGCTGGAGCTCTCGGGGCAGGGAGCTATGGGAGAGTCCGATCTGGCCCGCGTTGCTCCCCGCTATTCATTCCATTCCTCCCGTAAGGACAGAGTGGAGCAGGAGTAACTGACCTTCCCCCAGCAGCCAGGGCCCCTGATGCTGGGACTGGAATATGGGCCAGTGCTCCTGCCGCCCGTCCTGCGAGGAGAGGCTGGGAATGGAGTCTCCGAGGGGCCACCTACCTGGTGCTCCTGCGCCCTCCTAGCTAAGGAACCCTGAGTACAGTTCCACTCGGCTCTCCCGCCCTATCCACTATCTTATTGCTTCTCTGGGCCCCTCTAGAAGCCTTTGTAGATAGCACAGCTGCCCTGTGCCTTGGGGCTGGACTGCCCTGAGCCCCCCACAGCCTTGCTCTCTTCCCTTCCGATCCTTCCTCTCTTCAGTCAGTGCCGCCCTGTGGCACCGCTCCCCTCTGCTCGCCCCATCCCTCTGCTCCACTTCTGTTCCCGTGCCCTGTCCAAACCACTCACCTGTCTGAGAACGCTGCCGCGCTCGCCCAGGCGCTGGTCGGGCGTGTGTAACCGCCGTGCGCTCATGTCCCAGCCCTGAGACTCGACTGGCGGGTGTGGGACTGGGACCGATCCCGTCTGTGCTGCTCAGCTACCCCAGCCGTGCCCTGCCACCCACAGGGCAAATTCTCTGGGACAGGCTCTTTGGCTGCTCCAGAGTCCTGGTCAGGAGTTCAGAGGGGATTTTTATAGGGCATTACAACAGCATCAGTGCTTCTCATAGCTTCATCCGTGCCCGCTCCGCCCCTCACGGCAGTGTCAGCGGGGCTGTAAGGTCCTCGGGGCAGGGGTCTGTGTGGCTGTGCTTGTTCTTTGCCTGCCCATCGTGGTGCTGCCTGGACCCGAACTAGAGCTGCAGCGAGCTGAGACCCTCCCTTGTCTCCTGCACAGACACCCTCGATCCCAGCAGCTTACAGAAGCTCCTGATGAAGACGGGGCTCATCCTGATTGTGATCGGACACCTCAGTTTCATCTCCGGAGCCCTCGTGCAGGGGACCGTGCTGCGCTACGTGGCAAACCCCCAGGATGCCATCTCCCTGCAGTACGCCATCGCCAACATCATCTCGGTGACCTCGGCCATCCTGGTACTGCTCTCCTGGCATGCTGGCTCTGCTCGGGGGCGGGGAGGCTACAGAGAACGGGGGTAGAGGATGCTTGTTAGGAGGCAGAGTGGACGGACCATAAGATGTGGTTTAGGGTCTGGGAGGGGACACCCTAGGTTAAAGCTGTGGGGTGGAGGGGAATGCCCGTCTCTCTCCAGGCTGCAGGTGTTTGGTGGGAAGCCCCCTGCTGAAGTAGAGGCCGACGGATGGGAGATCCTGCTGGGGACCAGTGGAGCGTGGGTGCGAAGACCGCGCTTCCCTCTACCCACACAAAGCCGTGCTCTGCTGCCTCCCAGGGCTGACCAAGTTACTTACTAGGGCTGTCATCAGGGGAAAGCACTTGGCTTTAAATGCCTGACATGGCTGGGCCTGGGAGCTGTGTGGCCAGAGATCCCCCTCCCCACCCCCACCTGCAGTTTCTTGCTGCTGTTTAAGCAAACAAAATCTGGCATCAAAGTTTCTTTGTTTTCCTGATTAATCTTCCCCCCCCTCACCCGCCGAGTCCGGGCCTGAGAGCTGCGGTCTCTTCCCTTCCTGCAGCCCACATGGGCGCTCTGTACCTCTTCATTCTTATGGCTGCTGTAGGTGGAACAGCCATGGCTGCAGCATCAGCCACAGACCCCCCGCCCAAAGCCTGGTGGGCCAGATTCAGCACTGGGGTGAGCAAGAGAAATCTGGTCCCCAGTCTGACACCAAAAGGTACCTAGGCTACATGGCAGCTCTTTGGGGCAGGGACTGGCATGATGGCGCCCGGGTCTAGCTGGGGCCATAATACGTCACAGTACGTGGAGCCGTCCCTGTTAGTCTCGCCAGCCAATGAAAAGGGAGAGGGTACTCCAGTGGGTGGGGCGCTACCCTCGGATTTGGGAGACCCAGGTTCAATTCCTTGCTGGGCCACAGACCTGGGCAAATCACGTAGTCTTTGTGCCTCAGTTTCCCATCTGTCCAATGAGGCTAATAGCACTGCCCACCTCCCAGGGGTGTTGGGAGGAGAGATACTGCAGCCATGGGGGCCAGTTAAGTACCTGGATGGCAGATGGAGCCATTCTGGGCAGATTCTCATGTGAATATTGCAGCCCCTGCAAGAGACTCACCTGGGGGGACAGACACCATCCCAGGTCCTGTTAGAAACCGGGTGCTGCCAAGCTGTGTTTAAGGAAAGCTCTAGAACCGGTGAGCGCGGATTCAGTAGCGACTGGGGAAAGCTCCTGTTGCGGGCCCCGGTACAGAGCACTCGCTGCCTTTCCAACGCTTGCGAACATTAAGCCCTTGACAAAAATAAAAGCCAATCCTAGAAAATCACCTACCCTTAAAGTCTCTGATTGCCGGGGGTTTCTAAGGCCACCGGAGTTCTCTTCCCCCCCCAAGCTGGCCTCGGAAGCTGTCAAGCCGGCACCAGTCAGTTTAATTGTTAACCCTAATTATTATTATTATTTCAGGCACTTGCAGAACGTTCAGTGACGTGCCTCACTCCACAATGAGGGGTGGGTGTGACTCTCCCCTGGGCTGAGCTGCTGCAGTTGGCACGTCAGCTCAGCCTGGTTCAGGAAGGCGAGCTGCAGCCCCGATTACGAGCCAGCCCTTCGGAAGAGGTCACGGAGTCCTGTCGATCTCTGGCACCTGCTGGAGCAGCCTCCTCCCTGCTGTACCTCCTCCGAAGCGAGCGGTGGGACAGCAGGGTGAAACAGTGCCTCCTTTTGGTTTTAATAACATCCGCATTTAAATAGTCACAGCTGGCCCTGAACGTTGGCACCCTATTGTGGGGAATGGCAATGCGATTGTTTCCCTGGAGGCAGGCTCCTAAGGGTGGCGCTGCCTGGATTTCTATAGGGGCGGCTATCCAGCTGCATCTATAGCAGAGGGCTAGGAAGTTTAGATTTTTTGGGGAGGAACCAACTGAAGTAAACAGCAAATAATGTGGGGGTAAGACGACAGCCCCCAAGTCCCTGGGGCTTTCCGTACCAGTTCTTTCTAACTTGAGGGGCTTGGCAGAGCATCTCCCCCCATTGCTGTGTCTGTTTCCTTTGCAGACCATCTCCTGTGGCATAGCTGCGATTGTGCTGTCCAGATACCTTTCCCTAACAGCCCTGGTAAGGACGGCTCCCGAATTCCCCCAAAGTCCTGTCGTGCTGCAGGAGCCTGCCCCTACCAAAGGCAGCGGTCTGCTGGAGAAAGGGCCCGTTTCTCTCGAGCGTGTCTCGTCTTTCACTCTGGATGGGTCTGTCTGGGTTCTCTGATCCTCTCGGCTGTTTGCAAGTTTCCCCTCTGGCACATTAGAGGGAAAAGATTTGTTTGAACTTGAGCCTGGGAATGCATTCTGGGAACTTGCCTGGTGAGGCTGCAGCTCCGTGCCCCGCCCAGCGAGAGAGAGCTGCACTGCACGAGTTAGACACACACACTTTAGTGGCTCCATGCGAGCGTCAAACCCCAGAGCAGGCTGTAAGGCTCGGGAGACAGTAGCACGCATGTCTAGGGGCAATGGAAATGGAGGGTAAGCTCCCTTCCCACCCCAGGAGAGGGTTGGGGATAGAGGAGGGGGAGGAAGCTGAAGTACTTGCAAACTTTTAAATTAATCTCATGATTCTCCTTTTGGGGAAACTGAGGCAGAGGCTGAGTCTGTCTCTAAGGGTGCAGTGCAGGGTGACTCACCCACCCTTCAAGGAAAGAAAGGGCAGCTGCATGAAAGATACCAGACATGGCTTATCTGTAGCTCTCTGGGGGAAGGCTGTGGTGGGATACCAGGGGATGTCTCGTAGAATATGGTTGGTCCGTACCCCCTGTGACTCAGTGGGAGGGTGCGCCCAGGCCTGTGGTCAGACCACGTGCACCTGTGATGACTGAATTCCCTGGCATCTGTGTGAAGGGCCAGCAGTGGGAGGGATGCAGGCAGCCTGCCCCGTGGGCCTGTGCCCCCCCAGCCCTTGCTGTAACTAGCTGTGTTTCTCTCTGACTCGCCACAGAAGTGGGCAGTCTTCTCCCTCAGCATAAGCAGCACCCTGCTCTCGCTCTTCTGCTCCGTGGGGCTGGCGGTCTCCATTATCCTCACCTTCGTCAACAAAGGGAACGCCCTGCTGGCCACCTGCACCTTCGCCGATGTGGAACTGATCCAGATCTCCCACGAGTGCGCCTTCGACCCCACCCGCGTCTATGTAAGTGCTTGGGAGGGTCTGACATCCCTGTGAGAGGGGGACGCTCCCGTTCTGGCATAGCAGTATCTAGTAATGCTCCTGGCGCCCACCCAGCAAGGGCAGAAGCTGCTGCAGTGAGACCCCGCTGCAGCTGGGACCTTGGGGGTGGCATACGGGGTGTTTATGGGGTTTCAGGGATTATTTTTGCCGTCCTCTGTAGCGTGGGGGCGTGGTTCACTTGCTGGGATCCCATAGCAGGGGCCTTGAGCATAGGGTGCACCGGGGACTCTCCCTGCAGTGTGCAGTTCAGGCTCTTGGAATGTTAATCTGTGGGCTTAATCTAGGGGCCTCTGGGTGAAAATGAATGGCCAGGGTCCGCCTAGATGATCTAATGGTTCCTTCTGGCCTTAAAGGCTCTGATCATGTCGCTGCTTCTAATACCACCACCACTGTGCCCTTCTCGCACCTTCCGTCTGGGGACCTCAGAAGGCTGTAGACACTTGTGCATTAAATGTCCCGGGCTAGAGAAAGTATCATCCTTGCTTTAAAGAGGGGGAGACTGAGGCACGGGGAGGAGGGGACATGACCTGCCTGAGATCGCACAGTGAGTCAGCAGCAGGGCTGGGCGTTGAACCTACTGTTAACCCCAACGTGCCTGTCTTTGGATCGGGCCTTTGGGAAGGTGGAGCTCAATGGAACAGCTCCCCTTGGCTTTGGTGGGTTTGGCTCAGGCCCCACTCCTCTCCGCAGAGCTCCACGCTGTCCCTCTGGACCATGTCCCTGATACTCGACGCGGTGGAGATCATCTTCAGCATCCGGTGCTTCCTGCTCACCCTCGCGCTCCTCAACCTGAAACTGTGTCGGAGGACCCGCAAGAAAAAGGTAACCCTGGCGTGCCTGGTCTCCCCACCCCTTGTCTCCCCCCTTCTAAGGGCTGTGGGACTGGATTCACAATGTCCTATTTGTAACTGCTCTCTTTGGCTGAATCCCGGGGTTTGTTTCTGCTCCGTGGGATGTACACAGGGGGAGATGATGTCAGCTTCTCAGCTCGCTCCCAGCGCTGTCAATGGGGCTGCTGTAGTAGCTCAGGATCTGGCCCCAAGTGGCTGGCTCCATCCCACCCATTGGCCGGTGTGGTAAGTCAGAGCAGCTGGGCCAGGCGTCCCATTGTGATACCAGTGACCCCGTCCTTCAGCTCCCAGTGCTGGGAGATGCCGGTTGGCTATTGATTCAGGCCCCTCCAGCTTTGCCGTGGGCCAAGCTCACTCCTTGTCAGAGCTGCTGCCCATGATCCCAAAGCTCCTCCCAGCCTGGCACTTAGGGACTTGGCCATCAGAGGGGATGGTTCTGTGTAGCTCTTCCCAGGGCTTTCAGCCACTGTGTGCTTGAGCACTGCAGAGGGTTTCCTCAATCCAGCTGCTGTGTTTGAGCAGCTTTGCCTGGGTGCCAAAGCCCTGCATGCCCCCAAATGGAAACTGGGGATCCCACCTCCATCAGAGACCAGGATCAAAAGGCCGAGGCTAGAGCCTGGCTCTGTCTGATGTGTGTAACTAGGGCCGCCCTGTGCAAAAGACACAGGCTGGGGCTCAGAGTGGATCCGCATGGAGTGTTGCCTGATCAGTCAAGCGCTGAGGCCTGTGTCTGAGCACTGCGGCCCGCTGCCTTGCTTTTAGGGGTGCTCTAGTGCCCGGCGACTCCGTTTTCACACTCGCTTCCCATGTCGTTTCAAGGTCACGTTGCAGCTTGTCCCAGTGGAGAATCGGGAAGCCAGTGAGGGCCGTGTCCTCCTGAGGCAGGGCAGAGTGGAGACGGTGTGGCTCTGAACAGGCCAGAGGAGCCTCCGCTCGTGCATCAACCTCATGGACCTGCCCCCAACCAGGCTCTGCTGTCCCAGCAACCTCAGGGGCTTGATTTCCTCCCCCCATTGTTCTCCCATATGCTGCACTGGCCTCATGGCTCATGCTCTCCCAGCCTCTGCCCTCCCAGCCTCCTCCCCAAGGCGGTGCTGTTGCTCGGACCCATTGCTGTACTGAGGGGAAGGGATCCTCCACTCGGCTTGACACGTGTCCTACCTGCTGCTGTAATCTCCCAGCCCTCTCCTGCTCGACTGGCTGCAGGGAGTGAGCGAGGAAAGGGCTGGGAGTTGTTGGATGTAAACTGGCCTCCCCCAGCCAGGGATAGACGAAATCTCGCTCTCAGCATGCCTAGGTCTGACATCATCCCACAAGCAGCTGCACGGAGACAAAACTTTATTCTGAAGATATTAAAAGAACAAAAGCAACCCCCCCCCCCCCACCCCATGCACTCCCCTCGTTACTGGAAGGGACGAGCGAGCGTCTGCTTTGAAGGGTGCGTGAACACACCGGGACACGTTGATCTCCACAGCCTGGGCTGAGAGCGTTGGTGGGGTCGGGGGTTGTGCTGACAGAGCCTTGCCTGTGACTTGGGGCTTCTGCCTCTGTGTTAAGTGGGGGGGCCCTGCTGAACCCCCCCCTCCCCTTGCCAAGGGGATCTGTGTGCAGTCAGACCAAAATACTGATGAATAAAATCATGTGACAGACAGCAGTGGCCTTTAATGTGTGCACTGGGGTCCTCAGGGCTGCCCCCCATCTGTGCTAAGTGGGGGAGGCTACAATCAGCTGGGAGGTGGGGGGGCAGTCCAAGGGCTGAGGCTGCTACCACTGACTCTCTCCTTCCCCCTTGGGACTTACTCCGCCCCTGCCCTCCAGCTGGGGCAGGCTGTAGAGGTGGGCGTATCCCCTTCCACCCAGGACACGGTCAGGGGAGGTGTCCTCCTCTACGCAGCCAGCTGTGGATGGGGGGAGAGGGCAGGAAGTCCAACTTCTGGCTCAGTAAGAGAGGATCTGCCATGGCTACATTCTGCCAGCACCCCCAGCTGTGTTGGGAATTCATTTTGCTTAACTCCTTCAGACACCAGCTGTGAGGGCAAGTCCCCTGTGCAGGCGGATTACTCCCCACCCCGCCCCCTTCAGCCCCTGAATGAGCAGCTCTGGGGCTGTGGCCAGAGCCCCTCCCGTTGCTGACTGATCTTTCCCCATCAAGCTTCTTCCATAAGCCCCCCACTTTAGCCTCTGCGTGGCCCCATGGCTGAAGAAAGGCCCCGGCCCCTGCTGTGCACCCGGGGTTGGCAGAAGCCAGAGACTTGGCTTGCTCTAGCGCTCGCTGCTAAGCTTTTGGGGGCTGACTCCATGGAAAATCCTGGCAGAAGCTAGAAGCGAGGGAAGTGTTCAGCGGGGAGGGCCTCTCCCGAGCTGCATGGGGAAAATACCCAGCTCTGGTCGTGCTCCTACAGCCCTAGCTGAAGTCTCCCACCCCCCAATCTCCACTAGCTGCAGAGACACCAGCCTATTCCCTCTAGCTTCGCCTAGAGTGACCATCTTGAGAAGGGAGGGCCAGGCCCCCTCTGCTCCCCTACGCGTGTGCCCCCAACGCACCAGTCAGTCCTCAGGGGAAACACGAATAGGCAGCCTGGAGCGCAGCCTGACCCAGCGAAGTGGCTCTTCACTACAGCTACCTGCTGGCCCTGCAGCGGCTTCATCCCTCCCATTTTGCAGGGCTGGCATTTGGGGGGCAGTGAAGGGGTAAGAGCACCTGCCTGTGTTCCTGCTGGGGGGAGGGGAGACTATGAGCTTAGCCCCCCCCTTCAGGGTACCACAGGCTGCTGGTGCAGCTGATGGGTTGTGGGCTGAGATGAGCAGCTCCTCCTTCCCCCTGTGGAGGAGCAGAGCTTGAAAGAGGGGCAGATATTTCTCCCTGCTGCTACTTCCCATGCAGACTGCAGCAACCCAGCCAGGGGAGCGAACGCTGCAAGGCCCTGGCTGCATTGGCCAACCTCACAAGGCAGAGATCCTGAGCAAGGCGACCAAGGCCCGCCCCACCTCCCAGGGACCCCCGGGCCCTGTGCTCCTGCCAGCAGGCTGGCTCCCGTTCTGTCTGCCTCCCGAGAGCCCCAGAACCTGCTGAACGTTCCCAAGGACGTGGCTACGGACTCAGCATGAGGGAAGCGGGGTGGATGAGTTGAGAAAACAGTGGCCGTGCTGTCGTTTCATGGGAGCCTGTCCGTTCACCCAGAGGATTATGGGAAGCTGGCCTCCATGGCGGAGCCGGTGATTTCGTGAGGTCAGGTGTCTTGGCAGTGCTCTCTGGAGAGGATGGGTCCCATCCCCCACTCCCCTCAGGAGGGCTCAGAACTGCGAGGCGCTGCTGGGGTCGCACTGCAACAGCCGCACGATCGAGGGGTCGCTCTTGGCACCTTTGATGAACTCTTCCAGTGAGAGTTTGCCTGGGGAAAGGAGAGAAGAAAGGGCCTGGTGTGTCCACCGCCGGGTCAGGTCAAAGGCTGCCTGCATCTGAAATCGGCTTGACCCTTTCCAGGCCACGACCAGCCCCCTCCCCAACCTAGCAATACAGGGCTGCGGATTGCAACCCCTGAGTCAAGAATGCACAACAGACTAATTGCCTTCTCTCTGCTGCAGCTCGACAGCTATGGGCACCTACGGGGAGGGGAGGCTGTCCGGGAAAGGGCTTCTCAGGTCCCTGCTGCGTGAAATAATTCTCCTATCAGCTGGGAACGGGACCCTTGCCCCCAGAGCAGTGAGGATGGGGAGGGTGAAGCTGCTGTTCCTACAACAGTGCCTTGCCTGGGACAGAGTTTTCTGGACTGACCGTAATTAAGTGGAGACCAGACATCTTCCCATGCCCTGTTCTTTCCCGCCCCAACCTGGGCTGGCCTGGCAGGGGAAAGTTGGACAGACTAAGCCCAGGGCCCAGGAGCGGGCTGCTGAATTTCTCCTTATGGTCTTTGTCCTCACAGCCCCCCGTGAGGCAGGGCATGGCTATTATCCCCAATGGGCAACAGAGGCGCAGAGAGATTAAGGGACTTTCCCTGGGTGATGGAATCAGTGGCGGAGCAGGGTATTGCACCCACATCTCCCCAACTGCACCCTGGTGCCCTAACCACTGGGCCACCCGTCCAAATAGCCTCGCCCTTAACTGCAGGGCCCAGGAAGTAAGTGGGTCTGTGTGTCTGATGCCACTTTTGGTTTTGCTTTAAACGCAATCAAGCCTGCTGGCCTTGGGCTTAGCCCCTCCAAGGAGCCAGGGGACTAGGTCGCCAGAAGCCATTGCTATATCATGGCACGGCCACAGGAGAGCAGCCCTGTCAGTCTCTTTCCCCCACCCCTGCTGTGATTCCTTCCCCCCCCCCCCCCCCACGCTAAACGAAAACGATGCATTTAATCAGTTTGCGTGTCTCTGATCCTAAGACCCCTGGATTTAGCAATGAGACCTTTACTTAATCTCCCTCCGTCTCCTCTCATTTACCGTCATTATTAGTATCCATCTGTCGGAAGATTTTTTCCGTTCTCTTCTCTGGAGTCGATTCATCCTCAGGCATCTTCATCACCGAGGAAACCATTTTGTAGATGGCCTAGGGGCGGGAGAACAGGACAGAGGGGGAGTCGTGACCTCTGCCGACTCAACCCTGCAATTGCCGTTCCTAGGGGTGGGTGTTGGGGGTCAGTGGAGGGGGGAGGTCCAGGGGGAGTAGCTGCAAAAGCCACTTAGAAGCCACGGAGCTAAGGCAGAGAGGGCTCACGCCTGCCTTTGCAAACAGGTTTTGGTTTTACATTGGAGAATGAGCGTCATTTAAAAAAAAACCCAGTGGAATAAGCCTGTTAGCGGCATCAACTCCCAGCACATCAGCAGGGAAATACAATGGAACAGACTTGATTAAGCAAGATCAGTGTAATAGCTACTGGGTCATTTCCTCAGGCGGGGCCCGGCTGCTGCAGCGCGGCGTCTGTAACTAAGATTCAGAGTGCCGGGGCTGTGGTGTTAATTCCAAAGCTAGCCCCAGCCCTAGGGCAATGGTGGTGATGTGCTGGTGAGGGTGCCCTCCCGCTCCCTACGCCCACCAGACCAACTCAGCCCGTCTCGCCCTCTCCCCCAGGGACACCTGGTAATGGCCTGCTCTGCAGAGGGCAGGTGTTACAGCCCTGGCTTGGCTGTTCAGGGGAGTTGCTCTTTTCTCCAGTTTACAATAGAGGTGGTGGCTTGTACCCCCAGCCAATCAGGACGTCCACATCAGAAGCAGCCCCTCATACAAGGCCACAGATGGACACTGGGATGACCTGGTGAATGGGGCCCAACTGCCACTACCTCTGCTCAGGTGACGGAGCGGCTGCAGTTCGCACCTGGCTGCACTTGTGAAGAGTGGAGGGGGCTGGCCCCAGCCCAGCAGCTCGAGTTACAGTGAGAACACCAGGCGCTAACAAACTGTCGCCCGCAGAGGGCAGAGAGGAGCTAGGGAGGATTCCTGCTAGTTCCCCTGCGAGACCTTGGCAGCATCCCCACGTCCCAGGCTGGGTTACCCATCCCAGGCGGGCAAGCTCATGACACCTGCTCTTGGAAAGTGCAGCCCCTCGCCCGGGCTGGTCCTAGGGTGAAGGGAAGCAGACAGTGCCCCTCTGAACAGATCTCAGTGTCCATCTGACATTGGGACAAGACCAATGCCTATACTCTCTGCAGGGGCTAGTGCACAGGGTACCCCGCCGAAAATGCGGAAGACGTGCCCCTCATGTCAGGTCTCCTATGCTCAGACAGTGGAGTACAGCTGGGTCTCCTCTCGCCACTAGAGACATAGCCACCGGGGCTCCCGAATGCCAAATGCCCTAGCCAAGAAGCCCATTTCCCTCCCTGCTCCCCTGTTCCAGTTACTCCTTGCCTTGGGCCCGTCAAGGTTTTGATTTGCAGAGGAGAGACTCAGTATAAAAGGCTCTGGCTTTCAGATGCTTCACTGCTCCCACCCCCAAGCAATGAGTGTCCTGGGCTCCTGCGTCCTGCCGCGCTCCCACCTGGCTCACGGCAGCGA